AAAAAAACAATATTTTGGACTTTTTGCTATAAAACATGTCCAGCAAAAAAAAATTTAAAAATCAAATTTAGTCATAAATTTCTACCAAAATGCATTCTGCAACATGTCTTTGCTAAAAAAAAAAAACCAATACGTGTAAATTAATTGGTTTACGTGAAAGTTATAGCGTTTACAAATGGCGGGAAAGATACTGGGATCTTTAGTTTTTTTTTATACTAATAATGGCGGTGATCAGTGACTTATGGCGGCGATCAGGGACTTATGGCGGACATTCTGACACTGGGGGGGTACTGACTCGGGGTCATTGACATCCCCAGTGACACCAATACAGTGATCAGTGCAAAAAAAAATACACTGACACTGTACTAATGGCACTGGGGAGGAAGTATGTTTTTTATAACATAGCAGATTCTCAGTTGAAGAGTTCGGGGTCACTTTACGGGAATGTTTTTAAATGCATACAGTGTAAGTACAATTAATTTGACTTATAATCAGCCTCTTACATTCCCAGTACAGCAGAGTTCAGGGAGGATAGAAGGAAGCAACACCAGGATCAGGTGGGTTTCAGTGGAAGGAGAGCTGAGTAAAGTGAAAGAGAGATAAGCTGATCAGTGCACTCCTTGTCCTTCCCTGCCCAGTAAAAGGGCCTGTATGGGAGAAGACCAGTAAGTAAAAGTGAAACTGTCGCAGATAAATATCAAGTCCATTCCCTTGCCATGCAGTCTGTGCTGTGTGGCAAAGTGTAAATAGCAGAGCTGCGGGTATAGAAATGAAAATAATTTTAGCAGCTCTCATGTACAGTATGTATTCCATATTTTTGTGAAATTAATTATGAACTTTTATTGATGGGTTAGGGGTAAGTTAATTGTAAAAAGTTAGGGAAAATAATTAATTTTAGTTTTTGTTTCACAAATATATATTTATTATATAAAAGTGAATTCCAAGATAGTTATTGCTTAGATAAGGAGCAAGCACAAAACAAGCAGATCTCTTTTTTCTCTCACAGAGCTATCTCTGTTGTATTTACTTGTGTTTGTAAAATTAATCTTAAGCTATGGAGCCCCCTAAACAACATGCTTTTTTAAAAGGAGGTGAGGAGAAACTGAAAACCAGTGAAAATGAGATGAGTGCAAACTCTGCTGGCTGCATTGAAAATATAAAATATCTTTTTTATTCACTTCAAAATTACCACCACTTGGTTCTCAGAAGCTGATTACATATTTTGCAATTATACTGCTGAGTTATTACAATTGTAAATTTTCAGCAAATATTAATATTTTGAAGTGTGTACTTGCTAAAAAAGGCACTATATTTTCTATGATTTCCTAAACAGTAACTTATCTGCATTCTGTGGCTGTAAATATCCAACCAGGTTAGGCATCTTAATCTGCCAGAGAAATGGGGAGTCCTAATGATTAGAGTCGTCAGATAGGTAGACAGAAGGCAAAACGATGGAGAGAAATTGTCCTGACAGTGTTCACAATTTTGTAAGCAACATCAAAACATACAGCATATACAGTGTTAACATACAGTATATTTTATTGCACATTAAACAGACTTAAAACTGTTTAGTAGAACACTGTTGAAAAGTCCAAATGGCATTTAGAACAATAAAGGTTAAACCACTATATTGTTATTGATGTATGATGTGGCAGATGCCAAGTTTTCCCAAGAGTGACAGCATTTTAAAAGATTGTGAATTGAATTGTTTTTACAATAAAAATGATGGAGAAGAGAATGTATTGAAGATAACCAATGTTGTGTTGTTGTCCTGGTTTGAGGTATAGCTGAACATAAAGAATACATTCATAAATAAAACCCAGTGGAGCAGTCTTCCTTCTAAACATAAGCAGATGACAAACAAAACAATATGATGATATTTCACCATTTGAAAAATAATAAGTCATATTGTACTCCATCCAAAATTAAATATACATAACACTGTGCTCCAATAAAGGCAGAAACAGTGATGAATGATAGTAATCAAATTTTTTTCAAAAATTCCAAAAGTCTCATAACATCCAGAAGTGTAATTTTTATAATTGTAGCGTGCAAACTCAGTGTTTCCACATGCAAATGAAATTTATCCAAAATACATGAAAACTTATTTTATCCTGCCTTCTACCCTTTTTCTCTCTCTCCCCCTCTCTCTTTATATAGATTATATATTTATATACGCTCCATTGAAAAAATTCTGTATGTGCACATCTGCACATGTTTGAAGGTCCTGTGCATGTGTGAAGAAGAAGGAGCAGGTATTAAAGTCCTATAACTTGCCATGCCTGTGCATGAGTGAAAACTACAGTAAAGATGCATGGATGTGCTTCAAGGCACTGCTGGTATCTGAAGCCTGGAAAGAGCCCTTTGGCACATTTGTATGCGGGCTGGATTAATAAAGATAGTTGTGCCAGAGTGGCAAAACGAAAGGAGACTGAAGGTCCTCTCTAAGCATAAATAAGATCAAATGCATTTATTCTCTTAAAAGGGTAATGCTCTTCCTTAACCTGCTTCCACATCCTCCATTAAATTCAGTGAGGTACATACCAAGTAGACAGAATACTTATAAAAAGAGATCACAGTGAACTATACAAATAAAAAAAGGTATTAAAAAACAGTAAAATAAAACTCACATAGAAAGTGAACTGTACTCTGAGCTCTAAAATCAGTGTATAAATATGTGGATGATAGCTAGCATTTAAAATGGCTATAAACCTAAGACATGAAATATGAACAAAGCATATCCCTCTATAGTGTGCACTTGTCTCAGTTAGGAGCATTAAATGTAATTTATTTCTGCTACTTCATTCCTCTGACAAGTTTTCCTGACAACAAATGATAACAGGAGAGGGACTTCCAGCAGATTGACAGCCTCAGCTTTGTTTCTGTGAGCTGTGTGGAAGAAGGTGTGTCAGGAATGGACTGGCCAGCAATGGTGGGACTCACCTGCCTTTTGATCTGCAGTACCAGGGCTGGCCAGTGGGTGCTCCCAGCAATCAGAGACTCAACTTTGCAGCCAGCTAACACCTGGAACTGATTATGCTGGGGTATTTAAGGGATGGCCAGACCCACAGACTCTGCCTTGGTGTGTGTTTGTCCTGGGCCCTGTATCTGTCCTGCATCCTGTTTCTGTTCCTTTGCTGACCCTCTGTACTACGCTGCTTGCTACCTGTCCTGATCCCTGGCTTGTGACCCTGACCATCCCTCTGCCTGACCCTCTGTACTACGCTGCTTGCTACCTGTTCTGATCCCTGGCTTGTGACCCTGACCATCCCTCTGCTTGACCCTCTGTACTACGCTGCTTGCTACCTGCTGAACCTGGCCTGTGACCCCGACCATTCTCCGCTTGCTCCCCCTGTACCTACCTGCCCAATTGATATTGACCCCGGCCTGCCTGACGACGCTTGCTTGTATGTACTGTTATCTGTGGGTGGTTGGTTTGGTTTGTTTGCACTGTATTATGTTTAGTATTGCACTGCGTTTATGTTTGTATTGTTAGTGTTAATAAATTATATTGTTTATCCCATATCTGAAGTCTGCGTTTCCCTGCGTCAGTCACACATCTCTGGTCATACCTGGGAGCCCTGACATTACACCAAGGCCAATCCTGACCAGAAGTGGCTGCACAGGGAAGCCATCTTGGTTTGTTGATGGGAAGGATGGATCTGGATGAGGTTGAGTATTTATCTCTGCTAGTGTTTGATGACAGGGAGTATGCTTATCAAACTCTGAAGGAGTATCCCCGGGATGAACTGCTAGAATGTATACGGCTCGCTCATGTTCTAGTAGATCAGGGCACAGAGTTCTCTGAGGTGCAGCCTTTGATTGAGGTTTGTGCAGAGTTGGTTTCATCTGGTTCCCCCGAATGCAGGGATGAATTTTTGCCACCATTTAGTGCAGACCAGGTAGAGTCCCTGGTGTGGTTATTAGAGGATGATGTGGGTTACTTTCTGGAGCGTTATTCCACATGTTCACCACAGACACTAAGAGTTTGTATAAACGCAGTGCAGTCATTGACCAGACAGGCTTTGTGTAAGCTCAGCTTTGTTCAACCCATACTGCAGACATGGACAGACTTGTTGCACCCAGCCTCAGTCAGCTTACAAAAACCCAGTCCTGCTTCTAACTCTTCTCCTGTATTCCCAACAGCTCCTCCAGTTACAGCCCAGTATACTTGGCTATCTACCGCATGTCAGTACCCTGTTCCCACTCGCTGCACCTATCCTGCCTTTAACCCTGTAAAAAAGCCCTCTGTAGCAACTGCTCCCTCTCCTGTTCCATCCTCCAGTTCTTCTCTGTCTCCAGCTGCTCCATTCGTTTGCAGACCTGCGTTTACTTGCAGTGCTCCAGTAGTTAAAACCAGAAAAAAGCGAAAATTCTTTCCAACCAATACCATCCTGCCAGTATCCAAACTGGTGAACCTGCCTTCCGTGGTTCAGCCTGAAGCCTCTACTCAGCCTGAAGCCTCCTCTACTCGGCCTGAAGCCTCTACTCGGCCTGAAGCCGGCATTCAGCCTCTACTCAGCCGATGCCGGCATTCAGCCTGATGCCTCTACCCAGCATGATGAACTGATCCAGCCTGATGATCCTATTAGGCCAGTTGACTCGATGCCCGCTGTTGATCCAGATGATCCGGTACCTGATCCGGTGCTCGCTGTCGTGCCAATTGACTCAGAGCCCGCTGTCGTACCTGGTGACTCGGTGCCCACTGCCTTGCCAGATGACGCGGTGCCCGCTGGCGAGCCAAATGACCTGATGCCTGGTGACCCAGTGCCCGCTGTCATACCTGGTGACCCGATGCCCGCTGTCGAGCCAGACGATCCAATGCCTGGTGACCCGGTGCCCACTGCCTTGCCAGATGACGCGGTGCCCGCTGGCAAGCCAAATGACCTGATGCCTGGTGACCCAGTGCCCGCTGTCGAGCCAGACAATCCGGTACCTGATGACCCGGTGCCCACTGTCGTGCCTGTTGATTCGGAGCCCACTGCCTTGCCAGATGACGCGGTGCCCGCTGTTGAGCCAAATGACCTGATGCCTGGTGACCCGATGCCCGCTGTCCAGTCAGACGATCCAATGTCTGACCCAGTGCCCGCGGTCATACCAGTTGACTCGGAGCCCACTGCCTTGCCAGATGACGCGGTGCCCGCTGTTGAGCCAAATGACCTGATGCCTGGTGACCCGATGCCCGCTGTCCAGTCAGACGATTCAATGTCTGACCCAGTGCCCGCGGTCATACCAGTTGACTCGGAGCCCACTGCCTTGCCAGATGATGCGGTGCCCGCGGTCGAGCCAAATGACCTGATGACGGGTGACCCGATGCCCGCTGTCCAGCCAGACGATCCAATGTCTGACCCAGTGCCAGCGGTCATGCCAGTTGACTCGGAGCCCACTGTCGTGCCAGATGACTCGGCGCCCGCCGCTCTGCCTGAGGGCCCGAGACCTGTCGCTCCACCTGGGGGTCCGGCACCCGCCGCTCCGCCGCCCGAGACCTCCGCCTGAGGGCCCGAGACCTGTCGCTCCACCTGGGGGTCCGGCGCCCGCCGCTCCGCCTGAGGGCCCGAGACCTGTCGCTCCACCTGGGGGTCCGGCGCCCGCCGCTCCGCCTGGGGGCCCGAGACCTGTCGCTCCACCTGGGGGTCCGGCACCCGCCGCTCCGCCTGAGGGCCCGAGACCTGTCGCTCCACCTGGGGGTCCGGCACCCGCCGCTCCGCCTGAGGGCCCCTGAGACCTGTCCCGAGCTGTCGCTCCACCTGGGGGTCCGGCGCCCGCCGCTCCGCCTGAGGGCCCGAAACCTGTCGCACCACCTGGGGGCCCGATGCCTGTCGCCCCGCCTGGGGGCCCGATGCCTGTCGCCCCGCCTGGGGGCCCGATGCCTGTCGCCCCGCCTGGGGGATGCCTGTCCCGATGCCTGTCGCCCCTCCTGGGGGCCCGGCACCCACCGCCCCGCCTGGGGGCCCGATGCCGGTCGCCCCACCTGGGGGCCCGATGCCTGTCGCCCCTCCTGGGGGCCCGATGCCTGTCGCCCCCCTGGGGGCCCGGCGCCCGCCGCTCCGCCTGGGGGCCCGATGCCGGTCGCCCCGCCTGGGGGCCCGATGCCGGTCGCCCCACCCGGGGGTCCGGTGCCTGCTGCTCCGCCCGGGGGCCCCGGTGCCTGCTGCTCCGCCCGGGGGCCCGGTGCCTGCTGCTCCGCCCGGGGGCCCGGTGCCTGCTGCTGCCTGCCCCCGTGACCCGCTGCCTGCTGCTCTCGCCGGGTATGTGCCTCTGCCCGGATGCTGCCTCTGCCCGGAGTCCAGCCCGATGTGCCTCTGCCCGGAGTCCAGCCCGATGTGCCTCTGCCCGGAGTCCAGCCCGATGTGCCTCTGCCCGGAGTCCAGCCCGATGTGCCTCTGCCCGGAGTCCAGCCCGATGTGCCTCTGCCCGATGTGCCTCTGCCCGGTGTCCCTGCCCGCCCGGAGTCCAGCCCGGTGTGCCTCTGCCCGATGTGTGCTCTGCCCGGAGTCCAGCCCAATGTGCCTCTGCCCGGTGTCCAGCCCGATGTGCCTCTGCCTGGTGTACCGCTGCCCGGAGTCCTGCCAGGTGTGCCAGTCTTTGATATCCCGCCAGTTACCAGACCCGGGCGGTGGAACATTTTTCCCAGCTAGGACTGTTTGGAGCGTCCTGAGGCCGCTCCTTGAGGGGGGGGTACTGTCAGGAATGGACTGGCCAGCAATGGTGGGACTCACCTGCCTTTTGATCTGCAGTACCAGGGCTGGCCAGCGGGTGCTCCCAGCAATCAGAGACTCAACTTTGCAGCCAGCTAACACCTGGAACTGATTATGCTGGGGTATTTAAGGGATGGCCAGACCCACAGACTCTGCCTTGGTGTGTGTTTGTCCTGGGCCCTGTATCTGTCCTGCATCCTGTTTCTGTTCCTTTGCTGACCCTCTGTACTACGCTGCTTGCTACCTGTCCTGATCCCTGGCTTGTGACCCTGACCATCCCTCTGCCTGACCCTCTGTACTACGCTGCTTGCTACCTGTTCTGATCCCTGGCTTGTGACCCTGACCATCCCTCTGCTTGACCCTCTGTACTACGCTGCTTGCTACCTGCTGAACCTGGCCTGTGACCCCGACCATTCTCCGCTTGCTCCCCCTGTACCTACCTGCCCAATTGATATTGACCCGGCCTGCCTGACGACGCTTGCTTGTATGTACTGTTATCTGTGGGTGGTTGGTTTGGTTTGTTTGCACTGTATTATGTTTAGTATTGCACTGCGTTTATGTTTGTATTGTTAGTGTTAATAAATTATATTGTTTATCCCATATCTGAAGTCTGCGTTTCCCTGCGTCAGTCACACATCTCTGGTCATACCTGGGAGCCCTGACAGTCTCTTCTCTCCAATCAGCTCTCTCCTCACTGAGCTCTGCAGTTAGTAATTTCAGCTCTCCACTCCCCTTTTTTTCTGATCTTCATACAAGAGACGAGAAGACTGCAGGTAGACTGGTTCAAGTTATATAGAATGATTTGTTTTATTTCTGTATATCATCTGAGGCCAGTCAGTTCAATTGGAACCCAATATACTGTAGCTAATAATGTGTTTTTTAGGATCCATTTGATCCAGATTGTTTTTAAAGAAGGACTACTTATAATAAAGCTTTGATGGAAATTTTAAATACATGCATGGTCTCTGCTGTACCAGTAGAGTTTGACCATCTTTTCCCCCAGGTTTAGCTAAGCATTAAAGTGGTTCTAAAGGCAGAAAGTTCCAGTGATGCGATCTTGGCTCTCTCCCTCCTCATGGGCAAAGACTGCTGCTGTCAATCACAGCGAGTGAGTAGTGTGTGGGGGCACACAGAGCCAGCTCACGAGTGGGCTGACATTAGTGCCTCCATAGCAAGTGGCTTGATATGGGGTGCACTCAGCGACGGGGAAGGAGCCAAGAGTGCCAGTGGTGGACCCTAGAAGAGGAAGACTGGGGGACTGTTCTGTGCAAAACCATTTCACTAACAATAATGACGTTTATGTGCCTAACTAAATAACTTTTTTTTTATTCAATCCAGGAAGCCTATACATTATTGAGCTGGTGGAAAATGTAAAGTAGATTGTAAAATCATATTGTAAAATGTGTGGTCTAAAGAGATATAAATGCTAAGTAATATGTCTAACAACAATAAAACAGGTCCAGGCTAAAACATTTAAAATGGTGTTTCATTTTTGAAATACAGTTGTGAAAGATATGATTACTAGTTTACAGTTCAAATTCATGCTCGGAATTGTCAATTATAAAAACCCTTTTCCAGTTATATATTGTATTCCAGCAAAATTGAGTGCTTTGATGGCTTTCATTTTATTTGAATGTGTATCAACATTATTGTCATCCTTACATGCCCATACTAAAATTTATTAAATTAATTTACAGTACCTCTGCCTTTTTATAAGGGATTACAATTCTTTACATCATATCCTAATATAATCATGAATATTGTAAATGTAAACTACATCATTATCAGGTCCTTTCTTTTTTAACCCCTTCCCAGCACTGCCTCACGGCCCCTTAAGTGGCTCTAAATGCCATGAGGTGGAGGCAGGCTTTCTGATCATGTGACCTCTGTGAAAGACGGTCACATGATAGGAAAGCTCCCAATTGCAAGTATACATCAGCAGTTTTCTGGTAACTGTGCTGGCATGCAAGGTATGCGCTGTCACCACAGGAAGATGTTAAAGTCCACTCATCAAGAGGCTGCATTTACAGCGGGCAGGAAAAGGTTAAGAAAAATGTTATTTACCACTACATACAAGGTTTATACATAGATGGACACCTCCAGCCTTATGACAGTGAATGATGTCTTGCAAGATACAGTGACTCTTCTCCCCTCTATTTCTTTTTTTTTTTTTTAAATCTTTTTTTTTTGTTTTATGGAGTTGGTTGCAAAACACAAAATACAAACAGTTGCCCTCTAAGGGGCAGGGCCAAGGCCCAACAGATCTAAACACAGAACAAACTAAAAGTGCAAAACAACCCCAAAGCAGAAAAGGGGAAGAGGGGACCTCACCCAATCAATTGCAGGTGAAGAACAAGACCATAACAAACAAAAGGGAACCCAGCTCAAGACAGAACACCAGGCACATGAGTGACTTCCCGCCAATTAGTTCCCCACATAGTGGCGGTGGAAATAGCATCAAGCCAGCAAGATCAAGTTTTATAAAATGTGCAGGGGCATCCTCTATTAGAATAAGTATTTTGATAAAAGGGCAAATTAGAATTCACCAATCGTTTCCATTAGGTTATGGCAGGAGGTGATGGTTTTTTCCAGCTTAAAGTGATTGTTTTACGAGCATAAAATAACAGGGTAATTAATAAGGTGCACTTGACCACAGCGGGAGCCAGAGATTCTACCAGCCCTAATAAACAATATTTTGGGTCAAGGGGAACTCTAATATGTACTACTTCTTCAATTGTATGTAACACTGCCTGCCAAAATGACACAATAGCAGGACAAGTCCAAATAATATTAAATAACTCCCCATCATTGTGGGAACAACGCCAACACGCAGGAGAGAGAAAGGAATTAATGTGCAGCTGATGCAGAGTGAAGAAGGCCCTGTGTAAAATTTTAAATTGAATCAATTTATCTCTGGCAGAAACAAGGGGAGAGAAGGGATAATCCAAAATCTTGGACCAGTCATCATCATCCAGATTAGGAATGTTCGTCATCCACTTCAGATGTAAGGATGCCAATTCGGGGCTGGCCGCCTCAAGAAGATATCTGTAGAGTACTGATAAGGGTTTTTTCAAGCGTGATACACGAAGTATAAATTCCAGCTTAGAATAGGGAAGGGAAATCGGTCAGTCAAGGAACTGACCTCAGAAGGCATGGGCGACCTGGAGGTATCTGAAGTAATAGTGGAGGGGAAAACTGAATTTAGCTTGGAGAATGGAAAAGGGAAACAGCTCACCATGACCCGTGATGTGCTCCAAGGTTTTAATATAGTATTTAGCCCAAAGTTGAGGGTCTGGGAGTGAAGTAAAATGGGAAAGAGAAGGATTTAACCACAGTTAGGTACATGGGAACAAAGTGTTAGGGGGGAAATATTCCAGTCTAACATAGATGGTGTGAGACTATGGGGTGATTTAGAACCCCTGAACACTAGAGATTGCAGAGCTTACAAGAACTGTAAAATTGCCACTTCCAGAACGATAGAGGTATTGGAAAGATCTGGCTGCAACCACCAGTGCACAGTAACAAGTTGAGCAGCAAGGAAGTACTTAAAACAGTCCGTCTTAACCAATCCCCCCGTCTGTAAGTCTGGTAAGGGTAGGAATTTATATCTGGGAGGTTTGGGTCCCCAAATAAAAGAAACAATTGGTTCAACTTCACAAAAAATACTTAGAGAGCCACTGAGGGGAGTTGCGAAAGCGATACGAAAATTTGGGGAGAATTTTCATCTTTAACAGATTAATGTGGTCAATCAGAAATAGGGGTAAATTACTCCACACCTTCAGTTTTGACCTAACCTCAGACAGAATGGGGTAGAGATTCAGTTCTGAAAAATAAAAAATTGCCGACCAAGAGGCCACCACACCCAAATAAGTGAATTTATCCACCCACTGCAAGGGAGAATCAGGGAAAGAGGAATTCAAAGCTCTGGGATCTACCAGGAATAACAGTGGTTTATGCCAATTAACCTTCAGACCCATGAATCTAGAGAATGAGTTCATGAGTGAAAGAGCTCCCTGAAGGGAAGGTCCATCATCATTAAGAAACAATAACAAATCGTCTGCATATAGGGCCACTCTCAACTTCAACCATCCCACCAGGAGGGCAACAATATCAGGTGAGACCCAAAGTGCCTCCACTATAGGCTCCATTGCCACAGTAAAGATGGCAGGGGAGAGGGGGTGCCCCTGTCTAGTGCCGCGTTTTAAACTGAAGGCAGCCAAAAGAAGGCCATCTATCCGTATCTTAGCCAGGGGCCTTGAGTCCTCTACCAATCTATAAACACAAGGGAAAACCCAACCGATGCAATACCTCCC